GTGTGTGTGTGTGTGTGTGTGTGTGTTTAAATCCAGCATTAAACTTCCTGTCTCTTCAACCGTGCCGTTTATGCTCAGCGTTTGATTCATGCACGGAAACGGACGGAGCTTCTGCGAGGTTTAAGTGAGGCTTCAGTCTGCGGGACATCAACGTCGAGGTGACGTCTTTGCGTTGTTGTCATGCAAACTAAGGTCAAGTGCACATCAGTGTGTTTCTATTGATACACAACTCGTTGTTAATCCTTTAACTACCTCTGCACTGACTTGTGTTAGCGTCACATCTTGTGCCACAGTCGCTGTAACACACATCACACATGTTCACTATCACCACCAGAGAAGTCCCAGTTCTCTCTAAATGTCTTTCCCTCGTCTTCTTGTCCACATGCTCTCAGCTCTTATCGTCACACACACACACGCACACGCACACACACACACACAAACACACAAACACACACACACGCACACACACATACAAACACACACACACACACACGCTGCTGTATCTCTCTTTAGGTTTCCCTCTGTATGACCTTTGACCCTCTGTTCTCGTATTTTGGACATGTGATATAATATGTTACATATACACTCTACATGTGGACCTGAAGAGCTGAATGGTGTGTGTGTGTGTGTGTGTGTGTGTGTGAGCTGACCAGCTGTCTTCAGACTGAGGTTTTCTCTGATCTCCTCGTGGTCACACGGGTGTGTGAAGTCAAAGATGCTCTGACCAGTGAGCTCCACCTGAAAGATGAAACATTTCATATTAAAAAAAAACGTACAGAACACAGTTTCTTATCACGGTTCAGCTCTGGATGTTTCCTGCAGAACTCTACATTTGTACTTGAGGTTATCCAGTCGTCTCCCAGCTGCCCCACACTGGAGCTATTTGCTTTTCACCCCCTCATTTAGCCCAGAGAGCTTAATGAACTCAGTCCTGCTCAGACCTTCTGCAGCTATTCAGACAGAACCAAAGGCTTTAGCAGGAATAAGCGGCTCTTTGTGCCCCGAGCTCCTTCGCTCACAGAGGAAAGTCTTTATCTCGCTGGCGTCCGTCACGCCGGGTAACGCGGGCAATAATAATAATCTGGGATATCAGAGACTCCTCCCACTGCTGAGGTGGTCACCGCAAAACCAAACCGTGTGGTTTTCCAGAGGATAAAACTGCTGAGTGTGTTCAGTCTGTGACTGAGCAGCTGCTGCAGGTATGAGAGGAATTTCACACGCACACACATGCACACCAGTCTGCTCTGTTCGGCTTATAACATGTTGATGACGTGTCGATAAAGTTTTCTTCTGGTTTGTTTTTTGTGTGTCAGGTAAATCACTTTGAATTTTACGATGATGTGGGAGCTAATCGGCCTGCAGCTTGTTGAATTGTTTATTTTACATAATTATTTGTTCATTCATGTCTTGTGAAAGAATTGCAGATTATAAAAGATTATTATTTCTATAAAAACTGAAATAAAACTTGTGATGTGTGTGCCTGTGTGTTGTGCTGCTGACACTGATTCCACAGTGTAATATTTATTTATTAATAATATTTGTGTATTTATATATTTTCATTTACTGACTCGTGACTTCCCGACCTTTATTGGAAAGTATTTGCTGCAGTTTAAATATATCTCCCGTCTGCACGTGACCGACTCTTCCTCGTGTGTGTTGTGTTGTGCAGTTGTGCGTCTGCAGTTGTGTACCTGCGAGAGCCCCATGAATTTGTTGATGTTCTCGGACAGAAATATCATGTCGCCGTCTGACGTTACCACGGTGACGAAGCCCTCCAGAGACTTCAGGTACTGACTGTCCATCTGTCCGTCGGCATCGCCGTCCCCGCTCCTGCTGCTGCAGCCTGGAGGGGGAAGAGAAGACGGCAGGGTCACACTCACATGTCTCATTCAATGATTATGAATTCATATCATGTTATATGTGTGTGTGCTTGTGTGTGTGTGCTTGTGTGTGTGTGTGTGTTGTTTTCTCTCTTGAAGCTTCGGCTCTGAGCCAAAACAAACGAGTGCAGCTTCTTCCTGCCGCTCCTGATCCACAACCCTGACCAATTACACCCAGACCACACAATCATTCGTAATAGCTCCAACTGTAAGAAACATAACTTCAGCAATTATGTTCAAATATGTACAGTTCAGTCTCCAAACATTTACACACACAGACTCCAGTTTGTTCAGGGTGTCTCAATAAAAACAACACGCAGCTCCGGACGGAATGTGTGTGTGTGTGTGTGTGTGTGTGTGTGTGTGTGTGTGTGTGTGCGGTGGCTTCACGCCGAACAAAACCCAGTAGTCGATGGGGGTGGAGGGTGGGAAGCTTGTAATTCCTCTGGTGTGCTTCCCTGAGATAAGAGGGGCCGGTTCTCAAGGCTCCCGATGAGGCCGGGGGCTGGAGTTTGGAGCCAGGCCCAGACAGCATTAACCTCCGGTGGAGCCCGGAGCGTTCTCATGGGCCCCAGGGAGCTGCGGAGACTCTAGGGGCCCAGTCCAAAAGCCAGCGGCACCTTTGGCCTAAATACTGAGCTGTGATTACTGGTCATTTGGACCCAGTTGCACTTTTCTTCCCTCTCTCTTGTTCTCTGGTTGCGTAACCGCCCTGGTTTGAAAAATAATGGGGTTGAAGAAACGAGTGTTTGATAGAGACAGCTGCTGTTCTGATGAGTCTAACACTGAGAGAGACGACGACAGGATCGTACGAGACTCTCTCCATGATGTCCTGTGGGATTTCTTACTTTTGCATTTGTAGCTTCGCCGCCTGCTCTCATAACTGTTTCGGAAGGAAAACTCGAGACAGCAGAAGACTCGGTGTGAAACGTCTGAACGTCATCTACCCTCTGATCTGAGCTGCAGAGACTCAGGCTCCACTTTTAGGTTTTTGTCCCAAGGAGAAGAAAATAAAGACACGGTGATGTCATGAAACAACCTGCTAAACGTTTACTAATGTGCTGAAGCAAAATACACAAACAATAAGAATTAAATTACTTAATGTTTTAACCACAAAACCTGCGTAAAGCAGAATGAAACCTTAAAGTAACCGAGGTAAATATTCTTCTTTTCGTCTGAGACGTTGTTACGTTCGACCTTATAAGCTGAAAAATATCTGTCATTGTGGATTTAGGAGCAAAGATTTTGAGAAAAATCTAAATAACTTTGGGACAACGATTATCAACCATGATGCTATGCAACGCAAAATGCATCCCAGGCTAGCTTGTGTGGCTAACTCCTTATCTCGCCATGTAAAACACAATGTAGAGGTTGATTTCTTGGTTCAACCCTCCGCAACATTTCAACAGTAGATTCCGAGGGGATCCTGCTTCCAGACGGACGAACGGGCAGCAGAGGAAACATTACCTCCTTTTCAGAGGTAAATATTGTCATTGTCACTTGGATGCCACTTTGTGCTCAAACACTCAACACGGATGCAGGAAATTTGCATGAAGGCAACACAAACACACACAAAGGAGAGCAAATATGGAACAGAACTCGGGACCAGCTGAGACAACACGAGACGCTCGTAGACCAAAAGACGAACTTTACTTCTGTGACACAGAACTGAAAAGTCCGAAGAATCTACGGATGAGGAGACACGGACGTTTACGAGACGACAAACGCTGGAGAATCACGAAGATATCGTAGACAGACTGTAAACGAAGATGGACGATGCATCTTCTCCCATGAAACTAAAATAAAACTTATACAAAGAATCTACGAGAAAACATCTGTGTATCGTCTACTTTTCTTTAGTGTGGTTCATTTCCCAGATGCAAGGAGGAGGTGGGGTTAATGACCTATATCGCAGCCAGCCACCAGGGGGCGAGAGAGACGTTCTGGCCTCACTTTTGGGAGCCGTCATGTCGTCCATCTTTAGTCACAGTCTTGTTGTGGAAAGTGAATATCTGGACCCTCAAAGGTCAAACCGCGTGGACAGCAGCCAATAACAAGCTGAGCTGAATGAATCAGAGAGAGACACGGTCCAATCACATCCTGACGACCTCGTAATCGGACCAGAATCAGTGTTCTTAGGGTCGCAGCGAAGCTTGTGTTGCATAACAGACGTGTTCCCTACAGCAGCGTGCACACGTACATGTGTGGCGCCAAGGCAGCCATGTGTTATGGCTACAGGGGGTAAAGCCAGCAGCAGCCCAACGATGGGCAGAGCTCTTCCTCCACAATCTCTCCCTCCATCGCGGAGCAATCAGACGGAGCTGATAACGTCCTATCTGCCGCTGCATCTCCCTCCTCTCCCTCCTCACCCACTGCTTTCCTACCCTCATTACCTCCTCCTCCTAATGCCTCCTCTCTTTCTCATCTGTTTTCCTCCTTTGCTTCTTTATCTTTGTGCTCGTCTGATAAAACTCCTCGAACCTTCAGGAACATCTGAACTTTCTAACCCTGGACTCAAAGGGCCAGTTCAACCAAATTATAAAAACTGGACACAGGGGCATCATTTCTGAGCAGCTTTTTTCATTTGTCGACGGATTTTTGCAACACAAAGTGTTTTAATTCACCGGGTCGCAACCTCCGATTTAAAAGCAGATATCTCAGAATCTCGTAACATGAAACTGAAAGTAGCTGCAGGAATAGATACGACAGGAGCAAAGAAAGAAAACACACGAGGAAAATCTGCTGCTACATTAAAGCTCACGGCACATTTAGAGAAATTACAGCTAAATATATTCTTTTTTTTATCAGGGAAAGATAATTCTGTACATCGGGCAGAGATTTTTAAATCTTTTGAATTTGTAATTTCTATGAAACTATTTTTGCTTCAACTTGTTTTCTAATTATTTGACATCCACTAATTTCTTATTCTGAAAAGAGTGTGAAGCCTGATCAAACATTCGAATCCTTTAATTCTTTAAATCTATTGAGCTGAAGTGTTTTGCTTGAACTTGCTTCCCAAGGTTAATCATTTTATCTTCACTACTTTAAACCGTGAGCTGCTCACTCTCCAGAAATAAAGGCGTAATTAAGAGTGACTGATGACTCCACAAATCAAACGAAACAGGAAGTAGCAGTCACCGCAGTTTAACAAAGCACCGGGTGTCTGCATCATTATTTATTTTTTTAATCACTGGCAGCAGACACAGTGAGCAGGAAATCAAACGTTACATAAGAGGAGGATAACGTCCGATTTACAGATTCAATTAATAAAAGTTTCTTCCTGTTTGTTGTTCAGCAGTTAGATATCGTTTGAATCTGATTTTAAAATTATATCGTCATCAGGTTTAATTTCATGTTCACATCCAAAAAGATTTCTGGACTGGACTTGGCTGCTCAGGTTCTGAAGGTCGTGTCTCTCCTTCGTAAACCGGATGCACTTGTTTAACAAACGTGTTAAAAGTTAAGTTTTGTTCTTTTCTCGAGCTGCGTCATTGTCGACGGACTTTGCTGCGGTCGTTTCATTTCTCTCTCTTCTTCTCGGATCTCACTTGGAGACGCAGACGCTGGAATTCCAGAACAATAGGTCTGTTTCTTTGTCGAGTTTCCTCCGCTGCTAATTTTAAATAAGACGACAGGAAGGAGGAGAAAAAAAAAAAGGTCCAACAAATACCTTCCTACTGGAAACACACACACACACACACACACACACACGAGGTGGTCAGAGAACTCGTTAGAGGCAACCTGCCGCCATTTTTCTTCTTGTGTAACACATGCATCACATTGCAGCCTGCTTGTGTGTGTGTGTGTGTGTGTGTGTGTGTGTGTGTGTGTGTGTGTACCTGTGGCGAGCAGCTTGCGTGTGCGCAGGAAGCTGATAGCCAGCCTCATGATGGAGGCCTTGTCCAGGTGAGAGCTGACGTTGTGGGGGAGCGGCAGCTGGTGAGCCAGCTCGTAGAAAACCTCCGTCTCTTTGCTGCGTCGACATCGAGCTGCGTCACGAGACTTCTCCTTACGACGCTCCGAGCTGCTCCTGCAACAAACACGGGGACACCTTGAGTTTGTGACACCGAACGACACACTGTTGTGATCGAGACTCAAATAAGAGAGTTCTTAGTAATTATTATTATTGTTAACACACACACACGTTGTTCATGTCGTACAAACTGCCGCTGGCAAACTTCAGCACAACAACTAGAACTCCTCATGTGATACAAGGACTGAGGGCGTCCACAGTTTGTCACAGCGAGTTTCACCAAAGTTCACTCGAGTTAAAATGAACTTTTCACTGTTGATACCAGGAAATATTCTGTTCTTCATAAATAGGTTTTGTTTTCACCCAAGTTTGTTTGTCTGCAGGACACAACACGAAGGAACTGCTCTTCGGGGCAGATGCAGACAAAACACAGGAACTTTTTTAATCACTTTCGTAAACATTGTGAGATCAGATGTTATTTTCACCAGTAAATAATTCAGGAATCTTGATGAGACATTTATGAGCGTGTGTGATTTGACATGTAGCTCTGACAACTGATTCTCCGGTTCAGGTTCTGGAACAGGTGAACGGATCTTTATTTGCTGCAGGTCACTTTTACAGTTTCAAAAAGAAAATATATGTGTTTATAGCAGAAACTGCATCAAATCAAACTGAATGCTCAGTTTTTCCATTTCTTAATTTTTACCAGAATGTCTCACCTTTTAATTGTTTGCATTCTCTGAGAATTTACTTCTCTTCTATTTAATTCTCTCTGTGCGTCACAAGTCATCCACACAAACACCTGCACAAGTTTACATGCAAGGCTGAAACTCTGTGTTTACGATGAAACAGATTTTCACACTGTTTTTATTCTGTGTTACAGCTGATGGCAAAACTTCACACCGACGTCACACACACGAGAAAACAGTGACTCACACACAGAAAAACTGAAATCAGCTGCTTTTGTTAGAATAAACATCGAAACCTGACAAAGGCCTCGAACTCGGAGCCAAAGTTATAAAAGCATCGGTGTTAAATTTTTCTTCTTCGACCTTTTTTCAGTAAAACCAGGTGTGAGTGTGATCAGGTCACAATCAAGTCTGGATACGAGAAGTCGTTTCATGTTCGAGGTGAAAGAAACACACGACTATTTTGTTCGATTATAAAATAATGAAAAGAGAAAGATCATAAGTCCAGAAACAAAATGTATCAATTTGATCAAATAATAATAATAATAATAAGGAAATAAGTTCCTGAGGGTGTTTTTACTTTAAACCATTTATTTAATCAGAATACACAGTGCAACCATAATGTAAAGATATAATATGATGTAATAAATCATGTTAATTTGTTTGTTTACTGCCTGAATCACTTTCCTCTGTTTCCTTTGCTCCAACACTTTTTATTTAACAGCAGAACTAATGAGAAAAAGCTATTATCAGAATAAAAAAGATATTTAAAGAGTCGCTGACGGCACACAGTGCACGTTGTGTTTGTTTGTCCTGTTCCTTTCAATTTGGATTGAACAAAAAAAAAAATGAGCCAAATTCAATGTGAACTTTGTGCCGAGCGGAGGACGAACAGGAGGCTACGTGTTTGGAGCTGAGCTGTGACGAACAGAGGCAGACACACGTGAACTACACAGGTTTTCATTTGTCTTCCACAGGAGACATTAAAGTGGACGAGGGGCCTGCAGGCGATTATTTTCATTTCCTGCAGGTTGATTGAAGCGGATACACAATATTCACTTCAACAATCAATCTGAGGTCGTTCATAAGATTCTGAGTTCACTCTGTATAAAAAAAAAGAAACTGCATGAGAGCTGCACAAAGTCCAGATCCAGGACTTAACTCCAGGAATATCTGTTTCTGTCTCCATGAGCCAGAATGAAACGAACCTGATTCTGATGTGGAAGCTCAAACTCACAGAAAGTCTCTGCAGCAACAAACCATACAAGGACATCACACATGGAGTTTGGCTTCATCTGGATTCTGTCTCACACTTTAACACTTTCGGCAAAACTAAGATCCGACACAAAACCCTGCAGGAGTCCGAGGGGAAAGACATGAATCAGTGATCTCCACCAAGGCCCAATAATAATAATAATAATAGAGTCTTATATTCGATCCAGCTGCACCAAACGTCAGACATTAATATCTATATGTAAACTGAGTGTAGTGGAAATCAACGTTTTCATGTTATCCTGCCGACAAACTAACAAACTAACGTGGTTGATGTTTTAGGAACTTGCTGCAGAGCTGCAGCAACATGACGTCATTTCTCCTGTGAGTCATTCAGGTTTGCAGAGATGGAGACAAATAAAAAAAAAAAACGTTGCAGCAGAACTTCATTAATTCAAATGACACAGAAACAAGCTGGTAAATAAATATTAGAAGATGGAGCAACGACACAGAGAAAGCTGTTTTGATCTGATGGTTTTATCATGTGCTAAACTCTCAATACTTTATTTGCAGAGCGGTTTTTAAATGTGTCAGTGGCACTGGTGGGGAAAACTTTGTATCTGCAAAGAAGAATTTCACAGGAAAAAGTTTCTGATTTTAAAAGATTCAGAAGAAAAGATGCAAAAA